TATCGGACATTTTTTATGCAGTCCGATAAAATCCGATACTCGTTTTTTGGCTGATATCGGACCGATATCCGATATRGATATCGGATCGGGACACCCCTACTGATTACTTGGACAAACTGGGAATGTTTGGCTACAAATGACTTCTGCCTGATGAGCCATTCAAAATTAGAAGCCCTGCAGGAATAGTACAAAAGGAAATCTTAACCTTTGAATCCATGTGTGGAGAATGTGTTGATTGGGGGTCTCAGAGGGGATCAACAGGGGTAGACATAAGGATATTTTTCAGATTGTCCAGCGGACAACCTGTTGACAAAACCTGGTTGTCCACAAAACATTTTGGTTATCCAAAAGAATGTCAAGAAAAATGTAATTTAACAAGTATATTGTTCTGTAGACAAAGTTTATTATATATAATTGTTCTCAGTCAGCCAGGTTGACAGGATCTGTGTGAATAAAACTTCCTCATTCTCTTCTTTGAAATAGAGTATTTAAGGCTCAGGGAGTAAAGCTGCAAAAATGTTGCTAATAAAACCTAGAGGCTACCCAACATTGATAAACTTCTTTCTGCTCATAGGTCAAACATTTTCACTTAAATGGCAGTATACTGTGTACATAACCTTATTAAAAGTTACAGTTTAGTGTTCTGTTTGGCTTTACAAAGTTTTTTTCTCCCTTTCATCTTTACAAATGACGAACACCCACAGCAGAGAATTTTAATCAAGATCTTTTTTTCTTGGTTGTCCACCGGACAACCAGGAGACAGGATCTGGTTGTCCGAAATGAAAATAGGTTGTCTCGGACAACCTGAACAATGGTTATGTCTACCCCTGGATCAATACGTGACCCATCACATCGAAACGAGGATTAAGTCTAAAAGTGGGATATGGAGAAATGGGCAAATAGTGTTTTGACTAAAATGTTAACAAAAATTGCATTTTGTCGAAACATAATGAATAAAATGCCATATCAATGTATCATTTGAATAAACTGTCTGAAATATAATCATAAAACAAAATTTTGAAGCACTTTTTTGAGCAGTAGCAACAAAAAAACCTGATTTTTGAGGAAAAATGCCTTAAAATTATGAGATTTTCCCTGTGAGCTAGCAAATTTTTTTTTTTTTTTCAGCTGGGAAATCTCAATATTCAAATATAATTTGAGGTTTCCTCT